GTGAACAATTCTGCTGGGTTTAATTTATACAAAATGTCTCTTTAAAGTTTCATTAACTCAAAATCTGTCAGCCCAATGATTTTGCGTCTGACGTCATCCAGGTTCACGTACGTGCTCATGCTTCATTCGTTTTTTTCAAGATGGCGGATCGGCCTCGCTTCACACTACAGTAAGTAAAATATTTACAAATCCAAGAAATATTAAATGTATGTTTTAATTAATATAATCACAGTAACAGTTCAAGTAATGTAGAGTTAATCAGGGTGCGTTTACATGTCGTACATTACAGAAAACATGTTTAGCCTCACTTGTTGCTAACTAACGTTAACATTACTGTTTAAAAAGTTAGAATCAGTGCAACGTTAGCGTTAGTTGTAATGTGTTAACTCTGAATTTTAACAGAGTGTGATAAAGACAAAAATATTTAAAATCGGCAGATTACATTTTTCAAAAAAAATTAAATCTTGGCGCGAGTATGCCTTTTCTCAGCCTGTGCTGAAGTTGTCATGGAGACGCGCGCTCTCACAACCGCATGTCATGGCGCTGCGCTGAACTCCATCCAGTATGTGAATGTGGTATTATCTTCGCGATCTGTAGGCACTTCGGAAACGAAAGGCGCAAGAAACGTGACGTTAATCATAACTCAAATGATCTCCGCCTAAACACTAAACGGTATTTTCTGATGACGCGCAAAAACGTAGTCTCAAAACTTAATGTCACACGCAGCTTGTTGCTTGCTGATCCATGTATGAGGATAGCCTGACGGAGAACATTTAAGCTGCGCTCCTCACCTGAGCAGGTACAGAGCAGAGCTTCATTTTACACTACCACATTGAGGTAAAGTTGGTTTTATATTCATACATTCATTTAGTAACAACTTGTGACTCGCTCATAAATTGTTTACCATGGTACTTTGTCTATTTGTTCTGAAATTACATGCAAGTATGACATGAAAACAACATTACACTAAATGCACTATATTTTTTTGACTGGACAATGTTGTACTTTGAAAGTCATTGGCTGCTAATATGATTTCACCATTAAGAATATGCAAAAATTACCTTTCTGAAATTATATTATTAAGGAGAAAGTCTGAATGTGTAAATATAAAACTAACTTTACCTCAATCACCAGCACTGATCAACACTTTATATTTCCTCGCGCTTAAGATGACATCTTTGCATATCAATGATCACCTGATTAATGCGATCAGTTAAATGAGTTTAAATGTCATTTAGGTCAAATGTATTTTAATGGTATGATAAAAGTTTTTTTTTTCTGTCTATTTTTTTAAATGTTTACTCTGGAGAAAATATAAACAGCCTAAAAAACAAAGTATGCATATCTATAACACATTAATACAAAATTATGTTATTAAATAAAATAATAACAAAACAAAATATTCAAGACGTGCTAAACAAGACATAGTTTTCTGATGTGCAAATTTTGTAGCTTAAAATATATTTATATCTTAAAAATATAAATATTTTAGTCTATATATATTTACATCATTAGACAATAAGGTAAGTTTTGTTATTTCTAGCTTTTAAAATCAGGCCTTAAATTTCTTTGTCGTCATATTCAGTTTTAGAAATTTCAAAACTGTTTAAATTAAATCTGTGTTCATCGAATCAAAGCAACTAATATGATAATCAGCTATATTGCTAACCGTTTTGGAGGTTAACGTTAGACATCATGCAATTGTACTACTTCCACTCTCAGCTAAATTACACTGTGACTTTTTGTACATACAGAATTGTAGGTCGGGTGTTGCTGACTACAGATAGGTTCTTAAATGGAGGCATGTGAAAGGTGGGTAAAATATTTATTTTGTACTACTATGCCTGGCATATCCAGATAAAATAAATATTACAGTGTATTTATCAATGATACTTTTGCAGCAAGGAAAGTGAAACTTCAGCTAGACCTTGAGTTCAGTTTACAACATGAAGATCCTGCTTTCAACATCTGATCAACACCTGATTTTCATCTGAGGTAAAAAATAGATAAGTAAATGAAACATAATAATAATATTAATACATTTTTTCTAGAATTGTATATTTTGTGGTGTGGGTTTGTTTTATGAAATTCTCTCTTGTTTCTTTTTGCTGTTTGCAGAGTACCAACATGTTACAAATGAGAATTTTCCCCACAAATTCTTTGCAAAACTGGACCACCACCTATTTCATTTGATGACAATTTTAAGGCAAACAGCATCCAAAACTGACAAGACAGCAGATTCCCTGGCTAATCTTTTAAAGGTTTATGATGAGCAGGTATGTTTGGGGTCACGTGTTAAAGTATACATTAAAATATAATTTGAAATATTATTATTTTTTTAATTTTTAAAAAATTGATTCTTGATTTCCAGGAACTGAATGATGTCAGTTCATGACGGACTACTGTTATCAGAGGTCTTTTGGTCTTGCTGCGTGAGCGTGACTTAAGATTCTTTAGGAACACCATGGTAAGACTTCATTCATTCTTTTCACAATTAGGCATGTTTAATGAAAAGATGAAAGTTTTGAAAACTTACTTAATAACATATTTGTAATCAAGAATAGTTGATGAATCATATAATATTGGCTCAGTCATTTTGATACTGTCCTTACATTAATATCCTTGAATTATATTTTTAGATTGATAATCCTGCTGACTGAAGATGCTTTATTGGCCCTGCATTCACTGAGGGTCTCTGTTGTCCTGAAGAATGAATTGGACACCACCCACAGCACACTTCCAGACCTTTCTTGTCTTGTATGGATTAATGCAGTGGTTCTCAAACTGTGGTACGTGTACCACTAGTGGTATGCAGGATCCTTCTAGTGGCACATGGAGGAATGAAATATGTCATGTACATGCTACACACATTTCAAAATTTATCAAAAATTATGTATATAATATGCCACATATGACATATAGCCTATGTTTCTGAGGTAATCTGCCACGTTTTTTAACTGTGCAGAGTTGTAGCTCCTTTACTGGGCCTACCACGCTACTGTATTTCAATACTGCTCATTTTGGTGGTACTTGGACAGACCATTTTTTTCTAAGGTGGTACTTGATGAAAAAAGTTTGAGAACCACTGGATTAATGTATGCTCTTCACATAATATATAGTAAAGGACTTTGAACTTGTGCAAAAAGTTTTGCTTGGCATGGATGATGGAAAATAAAAAGTCTCGTAGCATGGAAACCTTAAAGAATGAGTTGATGTAGAGCTTTTTTTTTTTTAACTTAATAAAGACTGTCTCTGGGGTAGTAACTTCAAAACATTTATTTACCTTTAATTGGTAAGTATGCATTTTATTATATATAGGGATAGTTTGTCCAAATGTAAAATTCTGTCATTTACTAACTCTTCACTTGTCCCAAACCTGCTTGAATTTCTTGCTTCTGTTAAACACAAAAGTTAAGTAAAGCTGCAACCTGTAACCACTGACTTTCTAATAGGAAAACAAATACTGTGGAAATCGGTGGTTACAGGTCTCAGCTTTTTTTTTTTTTTTCAACAGAAGAAAGAAACTCAAACAGGTTTGGAATAAGTAAATGACAGAATCATAGTTCAACCAAGACTGAATATATATATATATATATATTGTAACGAGCGCACACATGCCACGTCGCCCTGGTCGCTAATTCAACCCAGCTGGACCATCATCAACACAGGATCGTTCACAGCTGGATGTCATCAAGTGGAGAGGCATATAAACCAAGCCCACGCAAGGAGAAGATGAGCTTCATTCACCCAATGACTCCATGCGCTAACGCTTGTCTCTGTCTCTCCACAGCAGACTCCAGCTCGTGACAATCCCACATCCGACTACTCACTGTCCTTCACTTACTTCCCGGAGCACCAGAGCACCTCACCTTGAAGAAGAGCACCGTTTACACCCCATTCACGTTGTAAATAAAGCACCCTCTGGGGACTTGTCTGTAAACTTATCCAACTGTGTCGCTGTTTTCCCTCTGCTTCGCTACAATATATATATATATATATATATATATATATATATATATATATATATATATTCNGCTCTCCGTAAAACAAAAATTGGGGAAAAAATAAATGGGGGCGAAAATTCTGACTTCAACTATATATATATATATATATATATATATATATATATATACAGTTTCTGTGTAGTTTACACTAAACGAGTCACTTAACAGAATGTGCACTTATTATTTTTTTTAACGAATGCCTTAAGAGTAAGTTTTACACTTATTAATGTATTATTAAATTTTATCAAACTTATAGTTGTTTTTTCTTGAGGCTCTTATGTCTGATATCATATTTACATTGTGGGTAATTTTTATTAATTTCAGAATAGTGTTCATTTTCAATCTCTTTATGTCTAATAGTTTTTATCGTTTAAGACATTTGTAATTGCATAGGAGACAAATTTGAAAGTACTGTTGGACATTTTTTCTTTAACAATAAATGTCTAAAATGGTATTGTCTGTGTGTTTTAAATTACAGATTTATTTTGACAGATTTATGGGGTTTAAAGATTAAAATAATGGCTAATTTTATTTGTGAAACTGACGATGGAGAAGTTAATTTTAAAAAATGCTATCAAAATGTATGAGCTGGGTGACAAAGTATGTAAAGGTGAGATAAATAATTAAAAATAAGTTAATTGCTATTAAAATGTATGAGCTGGGTGATTTAAGTATTTAAAGTTGAAAGAAATTAAAGCAATTAAGTTAATTGGTATTAAAATGTATGAGCTGGGTGACTAAGTATTTAAAGTTTGGAAAAATTAAAACAATTAAGTTAATTGCAATTAAAACGTATAAGCTGAGTAACTTGGGTATTTTAAGTTAGGTGAAGTGTCTTGCATGAGTACAACAAACTCAAAACTTAATGTTTCTGTTTACTTAAAATAGATAATTTCATAACTTAAAAAATTTGACGTAACTGATTACCTCAAATTTTTTGAGTTTTGTCAACTTATTCGGGATTACAGTGCAGAAGATCAGGTAGTTGCTGTTTTTTTGTTTTGGATTTATTATGATTATTACTAATATTATTATTATTATTATTATTCATACACTTTCTTATTCCTTTACAGAAATTCTCTCCATTCCCTGGTTGACCAATGCAGTGAAGGTGGTTTTCAACAGAAGAGGCGGCGGTCCCTCAGTCCAGAGGTTCATGAACAGATAGCAGCAGAAGTGAGTTTTTATTTTAATCAAAATAAGTCATTACAAACAAGCTAAACTGTATTGTTTAATTACCTTCTATGGGAACTTGTAAATATCCTTTTCATTGATTTTAAGATAAAAATAATAATAGAGCAATTCCCTGCAAATGTTAACCTTTTCATGAAAAAAATTAAGTTCTCAACAAAATACCGAAACTGTTTCTGTGTTTTTTGTGTGTGTGTGTAAGCAAGTATTTTACAGTACTTTAGACATACTCAAATGTCTCTGTCAATGTTTTAAAAATTTTTTTATTTATTTACCCAAGTCACATGAAAGGCAATTTCACATCCGTCACACCCATAATACAGAGGTGTCAAATCCATAACTAAGCTTTTTCCTCATAAATGAAAAATTATCAAATAAAATCAATCATGTTTGTTTTATAGAAGAAAAAAAACTCTTAACCTCCTGCTTAGCATTATTTTGGGGGGTTTTGCAGTTTAACAGACAGAATTTCTACTAGGCCTGTTGTATACTGCAAACTCACAGACTTTTTTTAGTTACATCCATAACTCCTTTGTTTATTTTCCTCATTTAAAGTACAAAACATGTTTACAGATTGATATTAAGCTGATCTTATAGCTACGTGGTCAGTAGTTTTGGAAAATATAAACAGAGATTTCAATATAATGTTAACATACTTTCTCTGTGAATTTATGTTTTGAGTTTTTACTGCAAATGCCACATCCATAATGCTGGAACTGCTCAATAATAATTTGAGGAGTAATAATATTGTAGTCACCAAAACATTTACCCAGAGATAGTAAATGAAACAATACAGTTTAATTTGTTGCAAGCACACTGGCTTGTTTATATGATACAATGACCAGGTCTTTTTCAAATAGGAGTCTTTAAGTGTCTCATTATAGAAGCATTATATAAAAATAGTTGATAAGAATTTTGAATCTAAGTGTTGTTGATTTATAAGCTGGGAATAGTGGTCTGTATAAAACTATGATAAATGTAAATGCATTTTTATGACTAGGTGATCTTCTTAAACGTATATACTCTTTAAACTATTATCTAAAATGATTTGTTATTCTTCAGCTTCTTCTAGTGGAGCTTGACATGTTTACTAAGAATGAATGTGTTATGAGGTTTTGAGAAAGTATGAATTTAACCACTACAACTGGTCTGCCTTTATAACTCAACCTGGTTATTTTAATGTAGCAGTTGAAATTGACACATAATTACATCATTTTTGTCTTTATCCTTTAGGTCTGTGATACCATACTCACACACACACTGGAGCGGTTCTCCTTCACAGACCACCTCGTTAGTGCCACATTGCTGCAGGCAGACAGGTTTGAGCAGTATACAGTAGCTTTTCCAGAAGATGCACTTAGCAGGACTCTGAAAGCCTATCCTGTGCTCGATGGAAGTAAGCTAAAGACAGAGCTCAGTCTCATCTACTCCAAGGAGCCTGCTGAGTCTTTTCAGAGACTGTAACTCTCCTAAAGATTCTGGTAACTACGCCTATGACCACAGCAGAAGCTGAGAGGTGCTTCTCAACTTTGAAAAGAATAAAAACTTTTCTGAGAAACAGCATGACCCAAGAGAGGCTGAATGCATTGGCCATGCTGTCAATAGAGAAGAGACTAGTGACTGAGATGACTGACTTTAACCAAAAGGTCATTGAGAAATTTGCAAGCCAGAAAGAAAGGAGAGCAAAATTTATTTTCAAGTAGTGCTACTGGCCAGTGATTAGGCAACATCTGTGTGTGTCTGTGCGTGTGTTTATTGATTACTTCATTACTGATAATAAACCTAAATTGAACTAAAATTTTCTGATTTATGAAGCATTTGTTGTATGCTTTAGTCATATTTTTGTTTTTTCATACATCACCTGATAAATGGCTTTTACACTGTTGCATTACCAACCGTTAGGTCAGTTCTGGTGTTTGCGCCCCCCCACATTTTTTTAGCACCAGCCGCCACTGGTCCATAACAGTACATCAACCATATTATGTTATTTTTCACTTTATTTAAAAAAGACATGAAGACTGAAGACATGTACTTTAATCTAAAACTAACCTTAGGGGTAGTTCACCCAAATGTTACATTTACTTACCATTTAATGAGTAACACAGAATTTAAATATGTACACTGAACTGCAAATAATCTTTACTTTAAAGTCTGTAATGCCTGCACATAGCCTTTTCCCCTCTGCGCTTTAATTATTATCACTATAAATGATCACAATCTCCCGTATGATTTGATGATAGTACTTTTGTTTGATAGTAATGTATAGTGTCTATATGGTATCTGTAAATGTTTAGTGTGTGAAATTGTTGGACAACCACCACACACACATTAAACAGCAAAATAAACATGTCTATAGCTTACTAATAGCCTTTATGTCTGTTCATATATTTTATATAAATGCAGAGCAGCAAGACCCATGGGATTTAATCAGCCACTCACCATCAGAGTCCTCAGTGGAAGCTGAGAAGAGCAGAAGAGGAAGCCAGGCAAGAGATGCCAGAAAAAAGGGGGAAGGAAATAATGTGTTATTTTGCTGTTTGAGTATAGGCAGGTGCAGTGGGTAGCACAATCGCCTCACAGCAAGAAGGTCGCGGGTTCGAGCCTTGGCTGGGTCAGTTGGCATTTCTGTGTGGAGTTTGCATGTTCTCCCCATGTTAGCGTGGGTTTCCTCTGGGTGCTCCCACAAGTCCAAAAATATGTGGTGACATTGGGTAAGCTAAAATTGTCCGTAGTGTATGTGTGTAAATGAGTGTGTATGGATGTTTCCCAGTGATGGGTCGCAGCTGGGTGGCAACACAGTGGCACAGTAGGTAGTGCTGTTTCCTCACAGCAAGAAGGTTGCTGGTTCAAGCCTCGGCTGGGTCAGTTGGCGTTTCTGCGTGGAGTTCTCCCTGTGTTCGCGTGGGTTTCCTCCAGGTGCTCCGGTTTCCCTCACAGTCCAAAGACATGCGGTACAGGTGAATTGGGTAGACTAAATTGTCCGTAGTGTATGCGTGTGAATGTGTATGGATGTTTCCCAGAGAAGGGTTGCAGCTGGAAGGGCATCCACTGCGTAAAACATATGCAGGATAAGTTGGTGGTTCATTCCACTGTGGTGACCCCAGATTAACAAAGGGACAAAGCCGAAGAGAAAATGAATAAGTATAGGCAATGATATACAAGACAATGTTTGATTAAGATGAAGTGTTTTAAAATGCTTATTTATTAAAATAAAGGTTACAAAGTAAAGAAGAAATATATTGTGTGTTTGTATATTTATTTTACTGCCTTCAAGATTTTACATTGTAAACTACAGGGAACAAGGGGAGAACAAGTGTTTTATTTACCCTTTGGCTACAGGTAACAATGGAGGAACAATGCTTCACTTTAATTTAAAACCCTCAAAGGTGGTATTTAACCTGTAAGTACAGAAAACAAGGGGTTAACAAGGGAGGAACAATGCTTTAATTTACAAACCTCAAATGTGGTATTTACCCTGTATGTACAGGGAACAAGGGGGTAACAAGGGAGGTGCAATGCTTCACTTTAATTCACAACCCTCAAATATGGTATTTACCCTGTAAGTACAGGGAACAAGGGGGTAACAAGGGAGGAACAATGCTTCACTTTAATTTACAACCCTCAAATGTGGTATTTACCCTGTAAGTACAGGAAACAAGGGGGTAACAAGGGAGGAACAATGCTTCACTTTAATTTACAACCCTCAAATGTGGTATTTATCCTGTAAGAACAGGGAACAAGGGGGTAACAAGGGGGGAACAATGCTTCACTTTAATTTACAACCCTCAAATGTGGTATTTACCCTTTAAGTACAGGGAACAAGGGGGTAACAAGGGAGGAACAATGCTTCACTTTAATTTACAACCCTCAAATGTGGTTTTTATCCTGTAAGAACAGGGAACAAGGTGGTAACAAGGGAGGAACAATGCTTCACTTTAATGTACAACCCCCAAATGTGGTATTCACCCTTTAACTACAGGGAACAAAGAGGGAAAAAGCTGATCTTAAACACACTAGTGTATACTTGAACACTAAGAACAGAGTAAACTACAGCAGCAGTTTTTATTGATTGAAGACCAAATTACTACATTTTTCTATCAAGCATCAGCTATACATTTACTGAAATGCAACAGTTAGCCCCCCTGTGCAAACAGCAGTAAAGATGCGAGCCTGTTTTAATCTGCATTGAACCCTGACGGTAGGCCTATATCATGCAAAGTTATTTGTTGATAGTGAGTTATGGAGACATTGATGGCTTTGGTGAGATCGACGAGTAAACATAAGGTAAGTAGTGTATGGAAATATATTTTTTGTTGAATTGCAGATTTAAAATACATACAGTATACAATAAGGGTTCATAATATTACAGCTTGTAAACCTTTTATTCATTAAACACCCCATATAAAACCCAAGCACTGAATAAGAGTACTAATGTACTCACGCAGGTGCATGTACAGTACGTTTGCAGATAGCAATAGGTTGTCACCATCCTTGCATAATTCTTTATATGTATACTATTGACCTTATTCTGAAATGCGGAAGTGCGCCTGTTTTCGCGATTGTCTTAGAACTTCCGATTCAGTCGCCTATGGGAGAAATGACTAGGAATAATAAACGGCAGAAAATGCCCAAACTACTTGCTCAACAAACAAATGTTTGCATGACTACACAGACCAAGCATAATATAATAAGAAAATATTAAATTGCAACATCAAGCAGCGTAACGAGCAGTTGTTAACGTCAAAAAATGAATGGAAGTGAATGTGACCGGAAGTCGCGAGACAAAAAGATTCAAATGTCAGCGCCCGCTCGACAGCTGAGAATAAGGTGAATACTTGAAGAAAAGTACATCGTAAACATAATATACTTACGCAGTTCTTTGCGTGATGAATATCTTATTGTTACTCCCCTATTATGCAAACATTATGGTTTGTTCTTTTGCAATTTAAAGAAAAAAACGTTATTTCACTGTACTTACGCGTACTTTCCATGCATTACCACCTTATTACCCAAGCATTACGGTTTGTTCCCTTATACCTACACATACGTTCATTATACTTACACAGTACGTACAGAAAAGTACACTGTAAATTCTCTGTACTTACGCGGTACTTTGCGGGTTGTAAAAGAAAGCGTTACCGGCGAATGTACTACTACCCACTGCGCCACTGCATCGCCATATATATATATATATATATATATATATATATATATATATATATATATATATATATATATGTCCTTTTCAAGACACTAGACAAACTAAGAATGCCTGAATTATGTTTATGTACTTCTAAAAGTGTCATGTGTGGTATCATTCTGTTCTATACATAATACTACAGCTCATGGTCTAGAAGGGATGATCATATTTTATATGGCTTACATTCTATAATGCTCTGAGTTAATGTCTCTTTGTCTGTTTTAGGAGGACCCTCATTATGCATATCATCGGTCCAGAGACAAAAAAAATCTCCCGCTCCAAAACTTTGCCATAAAACTTGGTCAGTTAGTAGAAAATGGATGTGACTTGACCCATAGTCAAAACCCATCTACGTCCAAAGATCTGCACAGAAAGGTCCCGAAAAGAAGGTTTTCTTTTCTTTTCAGAATTGCCCCTCAGGGGGGCAGACCACACTTCTGTACCCATGTGACTCGCCTGAGTCTACATTTCCTGTTTTCTGGCAAAGTAAACTCAGTTTAAAGTTTGCGTCTCGCGTATCCTCTGATCTGCATCGCAAGCTCCACCTATCAAGAAAAGACTTCTTAAAGGGCCATGAAACCCCCTCGTTTCAGCAGGGTGTTTTCACACCTCTACTTTGGAAAAAGTCAGAAAAGTGGGCGTGTCCAGCTCTGTTTAGGGGGGAGTGTCGGAGGAAGTAAAGAGGCTTGGTGTGGGAGTGTCTATTTGGGCGCGCTGGATTTCAGAGTCAAAACACACAACCACAGCGGACAATGTGACAGTGTTTACATGGACATCTGTAGTCGAATTATTTGCCAAATTATTAAATGGTGGACTTTAACTGCAGTTTGGCTCTTTCATTCAGGGAATTCATTCATATTCCTTCCGACAAACGTGATATTTGATTCGAGGAACTGCTCTAAGCGTTTATTTTTCATGCAATGTTTGATACCGCACCGCAAATGAGAGAAAAAAAAACTCAGCATTTCCCGGAAACTTAGATGTACACGGCAGGTAGCGTCAGAAAGCCGCGTGTGTTATTCCGGTCACAAAATCCAACACGAGGTTATGGTTATAGTTTGGTTGTAACTGCTAGTGCTAACTTGTTTACACTCGGTGCAATAGTTTGTTTGATACGAATAAAATACGAACTGAATAAACAAAGAGCACTGGTCGCTCACTTACCAAATATGTAGAGACAGGACAATCCACAGCAACTAGAGCCGCGTCTTTATTTAGAGGAGACTAATCCGGATCTCAGCGTTTGCAGATGAGAACAGCTCTCAGGTAAACAATAATTCTCCTTAGACACGCAAGTTATTGTTGTCGCGCGTCGCGTACACTGCTAATCCACACGTGACGCCAGCTGCGCTCTCACAGAGAGAAAATGAAAACAAAACTTAACTGCAGCAACACTTCACGCTTGTTTTGCCAATACAACGTGGCGTCTCTGCCGTCTACACTGTGACAGTAATGAATATTAATGAAGTTGCACAATAGAGCGCGCTGATTGGTATATATATGCGAGGCAGTGGCGCAGTAGGTATTCTTGTTTCTTGTTTTGGTGGCGGAATCCGGACACTAGCCCTGTTTTGTCCTGTTTCTGTCATCAGCCGCGT